TTCTTCCTCCCTGTCCTTGGGCGTTTACTTCACATACACGGTGGCACATGCTGCCTGGGGCTTGGTCCTCCTCTGACCTCTCTGATCCACAGAGGTGTGAACACTACACTGCCACGCTGTCTTATTCTCTGTAGCGTGTGAGTTTGAGTCAGTACCTAGGTGTGACGTCTGTGGACATCAGGAGCCCTTCATTCAGCTGCAGGGGTTGGGGGGGGGAGTACTGAGCATGTGTGATTTCTGGAGCCTGCAGCAGTGGTGGTTATTTCTTGGCACAGAAGAGACAGCAGCCCCTTTGGTGCCTCCGCTGGCATGGTGGGTTTGGGAATCGTCCACAAAAGCCCACCCTTGAATTGGTTTTCTCAGCCCTCTTACGAGTTCTTTATAATTTTTGCTAAAATTGCTGGAGTAGATTCAGTTCTGTGTAACTGGCCCGCACGCTTACTTGTAGCTCTGTCAGATCCATGTGTTTGGAGCGTCTTCCTGTGAGTCCACACGCACTGACTAGGCAGAAAAGGCCCATTAAAAAGTACGTGAATGGCTTGCACTATGCTACACTTAATGTCAATCCAAGCTTCCCATACCCCTAGGAGCTAAGTGCAGCCAAGTACCACAGTGACATTTCCACCCACAGCAGATCGCATAGACAGCAGTTGTCCCAGAGCAACCAACTCCCGTTGTGCAGGGACATCTAAGCCATCCTCAGGTCATGAAGCAAGGCATTTCTCACATGTTTGTGGTGATACTGCTGTCAACACACGTCTCCTGCTGCCATTCACATAGTACAGTGTGAACAGTTACACACAGTACACAATACAGTGGCACCTCAGTTCACAAATGCTTTTGTTTGCTAACAGTTTGGTTCACAAAAAGATGTGTCTGGCCAAATTTTGGTTTTGTTGGCAAACTCTGCATCAGGAGACAAAAACATGGTATGGCCACCTTTCTCCTGTACACACAGGTGGGGTCACCTTTTCTAAAATTGTAGAACAAATGGAGTTTGTGGAGCTAAGGCATCGCTGTGTTGGATGATGATGGAAAATAACCAGGTATTTATTATACTATGCTTCTGCTACAGTTTGTGTGTGGAGGTCCCCCAAAGCCTCATGCAGTCACAGAGGGCAAGCTTTTCAGAGATGGTTGAATCTAGAGTTTGTGATTGATTCATGGTCCAGTGCTGGGATTGAGAGTGTAAGAACTACATCCACCCTAGGGTGGGTAGCCTGCATACAATATAAGGAACAGGAAGAGGTTTGTGTGTGTGTGTCTTTTTCTCTCTCTGTCTCTTGGTCTTTCTGTCTCTGTCTCTGTCTCTCTCTCTCTCTCTCTCTGTCTGTCTCTCTCTCTGTTTCTCTCTCTGTCACTGCTTTTGCTGTCTTTTGTTGCCATGAACTGTTGCCCCTCTGCCATGCATCACCCTGCCTTGGAGCCAGCTGATTATGGACTGAAACCTCTACAAACTGTGAACTAAATAAACTCTCCTCCTTTATCTTTAGGTGTCTAGTATTTTTGTCTCAGCAATGAGAAAAGTAACTAAATCAACTTCTTATCATTATTTTAGACTTTATTCCTTCTACTTACGTGAAGCAGTTACCATAAAATAGTGTGTTAGCCACCTTTTCATTGATGGAATAAACTACTTGACATGCATAACTCAAAGGAAGAGAGGTTTATTTTGGCTCATGGTTTCAGAGGTTTCAGTCCATGATTGAAGGCTCCAAGGCAGAAACATCATAGCAGAAAAGGCATGGTGCAGGAGAGTTGCAGGGAGAGGTGCAGGGAGTTGGTCATGGTGACCAGAAACAGAAAGTAGTGAAAATTGCCAGAGAGCAAGAGGCCAGGGACAAGAATCTAGTCCCCAAGGTCACATCCATGGCCCACTCTGACATACCCAGAAATGTGTATAAATTGTCAATTAAGATTGATGATCACCACCAGTAGGCTGTGTTCTACCAGCCCAAGTCTCACACAGTCTATTTCCTATGCCTCTTGATGCATCAAGAAGGAAGTACCTCAAGTGTCTGACCTTGTGTAAGAACGTTCTATGATGTTTACATAGGAGCATCGCTTAATTCTGTGCCCCTCAGAATGCAGTGTACCCCCATCCTTAATGGATGCATAGCTGTACCATCATTACTCCCATCAGAAAATTAAATGACAAATGGATCAAATACCTTGTATGCGGTGACCCAGAGGCAAAGCCACAAGAGTGCACAAACAATCTGGTTCCAGAACTGGCAGCCTTCACCTGCCACCTTCTTCTGCCCTATGAATCCACCTGTTGTCCAAGCCAAGTGTGACAGTCACCGAATGATCCATTTCTTTCCCATGAAATTAACCGACAACACTACCAAGTATGCACTTTTAAAGTGGTTAAAGAGGAGGCCTCTGTGATTGTGAAAATATTTTGCTCCTCTGAAGTTGAAGATTTATATAAATCAGACCAGAGAAATTTTCAAACCTCTAAGTCTCAAACAAGAGGTCACAAAGATTTCACAGCTCCCGTGGTTCTCCTCATGGAGTATTCAGACTCATTCTAGCATCCCCATCCCTGGTCACATATCATGGTGAGAAAGATTCAACAAGCAGCCCGTTCAGCTCTTACGTCCTGCATCCATGGCCTGGAATACTTACCCAACAGTTGCTACTACTAAAGACCTTGTCAATGTGTCCCTGAATACAGGTGGGAATGTGAATCTGACACTTTGCCTAGTTCTTGCTTTCTTTCCAGGGGAGATTAGCCAGGAAAAAATGACTTCTCACCCTCCTTCTCCAACGAGATCATTTATCACCATCTGAAGAGTGGCAGGCTTCTGCGGTTACTTGCTTTGGCACTGCAACAGACACCCAGACTTCTGCAAAATTCCACTTATTTCCCACCTGGAATGCAGCTCAATGCGTGGATGCCTGCCTCAGAGCTGAATCATGGCCCTGTGAATGATACAATCCTTGCAGCCCACTCACACCTAAAACTTCGCCCTCAGAGGGAGGAATCCATAACTCAAGTTCACGATTTCACTCTGTATGGCTAAGGTCTTCTCCTCAGCCATGCCCTACTCTTTCCGGTGCAAAAAGAAGTCATGCTATCTAGGTAGAATTTGGTCTCACTCATAGGCTAAGTATGGAATCCCTGTCCAGAGTGCTCTCCAGAGCGGGCAGGTCTGTCTGAAAGCCAGCAGTACCTTAGCTAGGGAGGGGCGGATGGCGCCGGTTAACAACCCTAGCCCGAGCTTACCTCAGACAATGTAAATACAAAACTGGTGCTGGTGTTTATTTAAAGTCGTTGGCATCCACCTCACTCCCTGGTAGACAAAGATTATCTTGTTTACAGCAGCATCCAGATGATGGACAAGACTCTGTTTAATATAAATCAAGCTCTGCAGAGGGGGATCCGTTAGCATAAACAATTTCCCTCAAGCAAAACAAATCCTGCCAAGACTCAAGCTGCAATTCATTTATTACACGGCTTCGAGCTGACTAGTCTGGACATTAAACAACTGCGAATGCACAGGAATCAAGCTGAGGTCCGAGGGCTTGGTGTGCCCAGTCCTTTTGCACAAGGTGCCTCTCTCCGCCCTTGTCCTGGCCTCCTGTCTGTGTCTCTGCAGATGTTGTTGCTCATCTCACTTCCTCACTAGTGTGATTGTGGGCCCTGCAGGTAGACGAGATGCCAGAAGAGGCCAGGGACCACCCTGGAGTCACCACTGTCCTTTCCAAATCACGTGACCCTGGTGTGTAAACCCTGACACAGAAGCATATACCGGGATTTCAGGGTGAATGTGCCGAGCTCTGACAGCTGCCAAGCTCATCGGTGATGCTGCCTGAGCCCTGCTGCCCACCCCCGCCCCGGCCTGCATTGGGGGGTTGGTTCCCCAGAGCTGCCATGGAGAATCCTTTGGAGCTTTGGTGCGGTGTGGCACTGCTGCCCTAGAGGAAGCAGAACTGCGGAGCTCCTGGGCAGGGCTTGAGTCTAGCAGGCAGGCCAGATGTGAGGGCAGTGGTTTCAGGTGACCTCACAGGAAGGTCAGGTTTGGAGACGACGGAGACACCTGGAAAAGAGGCCATGATAAGACAAGGACAGCAGCATGGCCTGGCGCGGTTGGAGTCCAGAGGTGCTGAGAACCATGAGCTACCGTGTGTGTGCGTGTGACCTGGGGGTTGACAGAGGACAGGTGTGGCCAACAGGACCCTGCCTCAGCAGAGGGAGCCAATACCACTGCAGTGCATCCCCACTCTGGTGCAGCATGGCACGATGGGGGGAGGCAGGGAAACTGTGTCCTTTGAGGACTGTTTGCTGATTGCTTCTCCCCTAGACTAGGGCCAGGCCTTTGTGTCCCCAGTGCCCAGCGCCTAGTAGATCTGGCGTTGCTCAGTGGCCTGTAGCCTGTTCCCTCAGCCATACCTCCCGCACCTGTTCTGAGTCTCCTTGACTGGCTAAGGGCTGTGAGACCTTGGCTTTGTGTGACAACCTCCCTGCAGGCTCGAGCCACCAAAGAGGCCACCTCCGCTCTTCCATCTCTTGGCATGAACCATGCCCCACTGCATGCTGAGGCTTTTGCACCACAAGTAGATTTTTCTCCCAGCCTGAGCCCCCCTCTGCCTGGGTGGCATCACTGTCCAGGAGCCGTGACACCACTGGCTCACCTCCCTGAGCCTTGGCCTTGCCTGAGCTGAGTCTGCCCAGAAACTTGCCGTAAAGAAGCTTCTGTGTCATTACACTCAGTCACGCCACTCCCTCCCACAGGCTGCCTTCTGGTACCTCAGGGACCATCTAGCATGGTGGCTGCTTCAAGCCCTCACCTCTCACTTTGCAGAGTCCCTGTGACCTGGGGTTAAAAGGCACACACTGGGAGGCCTCCATTCTGTTCCCCAGCTGCCTGTCTTGGGACCAACCTGCATTCAGAGCCAGGGGATTAAACTCCACCTTTTGAGAGGAGGGAGGAGTACCAAAGGATCTGTGGACACATTTTAAAGCCAACATGATGCTTTTCCTCTCTCCACAGCAGTGTCTCTGCATTCCTACCTCCTTGATGCTAAGCAGAGGCAACTTGGGAGACCTTGACTTTGGGCCCATCGCTGCGCATGCTCTTGAGCCACAGAGCCCGAGATGGCAGAGGAAAATCCCACCGCTGGCCATGCTGACGCTGTCTCTCCAGCTGGCCAGCCCACGGCCCTGGACAACTTCGGAACCTAGGTGGCTCTTAGGGCTGCTTCCCCACGGCTCCTCTGATGTTCACCCTCTCCCTGGCCCTGTACACGCCCTCCCACCCTCCTCCGTGGGTGGTTTGCCGCTGACTCCACAGATGCTATCTGCTCCCTTCCCTCCTCCCACAGAGGAACCTGCAACAGGCACTATCTCCTCTCCCAGCTCAGGGCCAGGGGGCTCCACTTCTATCCCTGAAGATCCCTCCAGTCTTTTATCTTTCCATGGGCTCTGACCTTCATCCCTCCCCAACTACCAAGCAACTCGAGCATTTGATACAGCTTTTTAAAAATACAAGAGCCAAACATAATCCAGGTGCAACTCAATAGACCTCTCCCACACGGCACCTGCTGTGGCCCTCCAGGACAGTCCTCTGTCTCCTCTGCCCCATCGCTGAGCTCCTAGAGAGACTGGTCTGCACCCTTGCAGTCTTCTTGGATGATGCCTCTGCCTTCAGGGCCTCCACGATGTTGTCCACTCAGCCTTTGGGAAGGCCATCAGGGACCTCCACAGGGCCGAATCCAAGGCTCTAAGCTGTGGCCTCTGTGGAGACCCAGTCACACTACTGATATATTCTCTGCCCTCTCTCTTCCCAATCTTCTTTGGTTCCTCTCTCCCCTCTGGCCTCTCTGCTTTTTTCTAGACTTTTCTAAGTCTCCCTGATCTCATGCTTCTTCCTCATCCTCATCTCCTCATTCCAGCCCCAACCCTGTTCAGGACCTGAGAACTCAAGCCCTGTCTGCCATAGCCTCCGCTCTGACCTGGAAGTTATGGGGACCTTAGTGGGACTCCCCCAATAACCAGGTGACCACACCTCCTTCCAAATGTGCTCTCCTGGCTGTACTTCTGGCCTCAGTCACTGGCTGGGTGGTCCCTGAGGAGGGGAAGGCCTTCCTTCTTTCCCTCAGTTGTAGCTGATCTATTAATTAATCTTGGAAAACAAAACAACAACAACAAGAAAGGGCGGGGGAGGGATGTGAAAGATTGATTCTGGCATCACACAAGCTGCTGTGCTGGGATGGGCACCCCTGGATTCCTCCCTGGGGATCCTGTCTCCATGAGCCCCCTTTTCATCCTTCCCTGCTATGCTGCCAGGATCCCTGTCTTCCCCATGCCTCTGTTTCCCATCCACGATCTGGAGACAGTGGTGGCATCTACTTCATAGGATGCTGGGTTGATTGTATGTGAACACGTGCAGACTGCAGAGAGCCAGGGCTCAGTGATGCTGCCTCTCCCCGCCCTGCTCCTCTCCCCTAGGGACGGCACTGCCCAGGACTCACTGCTACTTCACCTCCAGTCCACCTGCAGGACCCAGGGTGGGAGACAGATGCCCTGGTGTGCAGTGAGATAAGAGCAGGAGGCGAGCGCTGTAGCGAAGAGGCAGGGTCGTGTCACATTTTTCACCCATCTGAACAGAACAACTGGAGCTTTGCACCTCATGCTTATTAGGATGGCTATTCTAAAAATATCTGGAATAATTACTTTGGTGAGGATGTGGAGCTGCTGTGCACTGTGGGCAGACAGATGAAACTGTGCAGCCACGGTGGCAATGGGACAATGGCTCCTCAGATTATTAAAGTGGAGCTGCCAGATGACCGAGTGAGTCCACTTCTGTGTGTATGCGTCCAAAAGAATGGAAAGCAGAAACTTGAAGAGGAGATATAGACGCCTGTATTCTCAGAAGCACTTTCCCCAGTACTCAAGAGGTAGAGCAGATAGATGGACAAATAAAATGCAGACTATTCTTCAGCTTAACAAAAGGAAGGGGTTTCCAACACAAGCTACAGTAGGATGGTCAAGTGATGGGGACCTTATGCCGGGTGAAACAGGCCCAACATAAAGGGACAAATACTGTGTAATCCCAGTGTCGGAGCTACTCTAAATGACCAAATTCATAGAGACAGAAAGCAGAATGGTGGTTGCCGGGCTGTTCTAGTGGGCAGCTTCGGTTTTGTCAAATAAAAATGTTCTGAGGATTGGTTCCACCATCTTAGAAGTGGAATGTACACTCAAAAATGGTGAGAATGGAAAATTTTATATTCTTTTACCCAATTAAAATAATGTTTTTGACATGTATCTTGTGTGTCTTTTTAAATTTTATTTTCCTGGTAATTCATTTGATGAAAGTTATTGGCCCAAGAGAACTGGAAACAAGATGATTCCTCCACTGCACAACATGGATGATTCCAGAAGCACAGTGCTGGGCTCCCCCAGTTCCTCACTCTGCCTCCCTCCAGTCCTTTTCTGTCTAAGACAGAAGCCTCCAGCTCAGCCAGTTCTAGAAGGTGCTGGGCTCCAGGCCTGCCTTTCCAGCCTTGGGCCTTCACATCATGGTGTTACCTGCCACCCCCAGGACCTCAGCTCTGCAGCCCCTCTATGCATTAGGCTAGACAGAAAAAGCTAGAAAAGCGAGAGTTCAGTAACAAGGAGTGGAATGGCTCACCTATAATCCAGCACTCAAAGAGGCTGAGGCAGGAAGGCTGAAAGTTGGAGGCAGCCCGGGCAATTTAGGGACTCAGTGAGATCTGTCTCAACAATACAGCAAAAATGGTTCAGATGTAGCTTAGTGTAAAGGGCCCGGGTCCAATCCCCAGGTGAGATTTCACCTGGCCACTGAGAGAAGCTTCAGGTACACAGGAGTCTTAGCACTTCTCAAATGACGCCCAGATGGTCCCCTGGCCATTTGTGCTGTGTTGTGTCTCCCACGTTATTTGCTGCTTCCCCCTTTAGCCACATATGCAAACCAGAAACATTGGGGTGTCTTTGAAGCCAGCACAAAGCAGTTGAGGTCATCAGACAAGGACGAGTGTGAGTCCTCTGGGACCAGTAGTCAACTGTCAACGTCTGTCCTGCTGGGAATACAGGATGAAGGTGGCAGCGATGTCTGTGCCTTCATGCCTGAGCAGGCTGATGGAGACCAAAGGATTCTGGGCCAGATTCCTAAGGGTCTCCCCAGTAGCCTTGGGAGCTGGCAGCCACCACACTGAGCAGCGTGGCCGCATGCATGGAACACAATAATCCTTCCTCTGCGATGCTGTCTGGGCTCTGGGCAGACCCTGGCCCCATGGCCCGATGCCCTGGTTGCTTTCTCTCCATCCTGCAGGTACAACTGCCCCATAGCTACCTGACCCAGGTCCTGCCCCAAGCATCTGGATTCAGTCGGTGTGCTAAACCCCCAAATGAATTCCGTCTTTTAAAATCTGCCAAGTGACACTTGGAGTCTTAGTGTGGATACACAAAGATGTAGCAAGCTCTGAGGCTCAGCTCTTCCTGCCTGGATATGAACTTCTCAGCCTCCTGGTGGTTTTTGTTAGTTTGTTTTAGTTTCTGTTTTGTGAACAGCAAGACCATCTTTATCAGACAGAGACCCAGTGTAGGAATTAAGCATTATTTATAGTTTTCCCTTAATACTTTGAGGTATGATATGTCAGATGCAGATTATTCCTGGAAACTATTCCTAGATATAAATCCTACTTGAAAGAGTTTATTGTGGTTCATATTAATGACTGGCAAGTTGGAGGTTTACACAGATAAATATTATACAGTAATTCGGTGGATAAACAAATAAATTAGGTTTAAGCCCTGACCACAAAAGCTTTGATTGATCCAGAGGTGCCTATACATAGGGCAGCTCAACTGCCCTCCCAGGACCCTCGAGGTCTGGATTAGAGATTAAACAGGAGGGGGGTCCTGCCTTTGCAGTCTTCCTGCTTAGATGGGGAAATAAAATTGCTTGATAAGTAGAGAGGTTCATTGTTGACATTTTCAAGACAGCTAGGAACCTTGAGAATTTGAGATTTGACCTACATACAAGGGAAAGGACCATTCATAAGCTGTTAAATGCCCGGCAGAGTTGGACAGAGCTGGAGTTTGGGAGGACAATGGCATTTTGGAGATAGCCAGCACTGTGTTCTGGCCACACAGGCATGCTCTGGCTCTGCCAGCCCTGGGCTCTTGGGAAGATAGATGTCTGCTGGGTTTAAACAGCTACAAGGTATGAGGGGGACTTCTGAGTTTTCCTAGCCCTGGAGCAGGACACCAGTGTCAGACAATAAGTGTCCCCCTATGTTTGTGTAAATACCCAGACATGTGTCCACCGGGAAGATTCGGGGTGCAAGTGTCAGGCAAAGATAAATATACAGGGCAGCAGCAGAGTGGAGAGGGGCTCTCAGGAGGAACTGTCCCTGGCACAAAGCTGTGGGAAGAGGACGCTGTGTCCCAGCGGAATGAACTGTCTACCTCTCCATTCAAGCAGGTTCTGCTCTGGGCTGCAGCAGCCCCAAGGGAAATCAATTTGCCCTTTCCTGGAGGTGCTCGGGAGATATGAGGCTGGCTTTTAGAGCTGGTCCTTCCTTGGTGAAATGAGATTGTGGGTGCTGGTTTTGGGATTCAGAGTATGAGTGCAAACTTTCCAGTGCAGAAAGAAGTGCTAGTGACCCAAGATATGTCACTGTGTGTGTGTCTTAAAATTTTCTACCCTTATTTTAAACTCTGTCCAAAATTAGTTTGATCGAAAAATGAAGATGGGACTAGTTAAGCCCTGATGGCCTCGGGGTGAGCAGCCCAATCCTCCAGCTGAAGGGCTCCCGGGTCAAGGGCTGGCACTGCAGTGACCCAGCTCAGGCTGGTGTTGCTGCAAAGCTGCACTAAGCAGCAGGTCCCAAGGAATGACCAGAAACAAAGACAGCCCAGAGACCAGGACACTCCCTTTAATCTGCACACGGTGTGACTGGGTATGCAGCTGGCTGTGCCGTGGAGGTGGGATGCAGCCAACGCGCCCTCTGTGTCCTGGTGCCTGGGTGCTACTTCTGCTTTACAGCATCTGGAAAGCCCGCTGACTGGAGCAGGCCAGGGCTGGGAAGTTTTTCTCTCCTGGATTTCAGCCCTCCCATGCATGCTGAGAAAAAGAGCTTATTGTGGCTGAGCATCTCAAGTGGATAACAACTTTCTAGTTGTGGCAGAGGTCTCCAGTGCAGACCTCTGGGTGCCCCTGGGTGTCCAAGGAACAATTCAGGCTTTGGCTCGAGAGTCACCTCCCGCAAGCGAACTTCTCCAACCACAAAACAAACCAACAAAACAAACTAAAACAACCCATCTGGATCTCTGTCTTTCCCTCAGCCACCTAACTGTATCTGGACACACTTATTTCTTGGCTTGTTAATGTTTTTTTCCACTATGGTGTGGGTTCCTCGAGCTCAGGGACCCTGTTTCATGGTCAGTGCTCTACTTCTACGATTTAAAACTGTGCCCGAATTATAGGATGTGCTTTAAAAATTGTGAAATGAATGAATGTGCTTTGCAACATATGGGAGATTTGTTTAACTCCGATATGGTAAAACATGCAGACGCAGAAATGATGTCAAGAGGAAAGCTGACACGGGTCTTAGAAGAGATGTACAGACCACACAGGAAGCACTAGGCGAGTCAGGAGGGAAGAGCGTGAGCAGAGCCTTTATTGTGGCCTCATGAGAAGGGAAAGACAAGGCATATGGCAGGCCCAGTACTGCACAGCTGGAATAATTTTGGTGAGCTTTGGGCTCAGGTCCCCCAGGTGTTTAGGAGCTGTTGATAAGGGAACAGGAACTTTGCTTCCTGGATGTGGAAAAGCCAGACAGAAGGAGAAGTTGGAGCTTGGGCTCTGGATGGGTACTCTGCATATGCAAGGCTTACACACTGGCAAATTTTAAGTAAAGTAGAATTTAACACTGGCAGAGACAGTTCCTTCTGGGTCTGTACGGCCTCTGAGTCAAAGCATTATAAAATCTAGAAAAGAGAAAACATGATTGGTACAAAATGTCTCTTGGACATGTGCAGACACGGAGAAGTTGTGGGTGCAGATGTTTAGACAAACATGAGAGCCAAACATGACTGAAGCGAGCTAAAATAACTTGGGGCGACATTCTGTTTTTATGGGTTCTGAAACCAATGTGCTCCCTTTGGATAGTTTTGCCAGTGGATTCCTCAGTGGGGAAGGATCCCTTCTGATAATCCCCTCCAAAGCTTTTATTGCAACATAATACACATGAAAATAAAATCCAAAAAACCATGCCTCTGTCATAGGGGTGGAGGGCCCACAAATACTTGCTGAACACACCCAGGCCCCAGAGTCAGCTCAGGAAACAGAAGGTTACCAGCAGAAGGGGCCTCCTTCTGTCCTCTCCACAGCCAGTAGTAACCCTCATCCTAGCTTCCACCAGCAGAGGGCAGTCTTCTGGTTTTTTAATCTCAATCTGTGCCTAACTTACTCCATTCAAATCATATACATGAAGTTCATGCAATTATTGCATATGGTTGACGATAGCTCACTCTTTTTGCATCACTATATTCCATCTTGTGAAGACACCATGATTTATTCATCCTTTCAAATGTTAAGGAGCATTTGGCAAATTTCCAGTTTGGGACTATAGCCATTTCCCTAGCTCTTGGCCTGTTGATCTGTGTTGGTCTTTTAGTTTCAAGCAATAGGAGTTCATTTGTACACCGTGATTCAGAAAGATGAATTTATTGCAGTCATTCTGAGGTGCTCACTGAATAGAAAAGGGTGGAAATTCAGGTTTTGACATGGATGGTAGCGTTCCATCACTCTGAGGAAACATGAGATAGTCAATCTAAAAGGAAGAAAGATAGATGTTGACTCACGGTTTCAGAGGGTTTAGTCCTTGGCTGCTTGTCCCTGTTGCTTTAGGTTTGTCGTGGCCCAGTACATCACGGCAGACAAGCTTAGTAGAAGAGTCCTGTTCACATAACAGAGACAGGGAAGCAAGAAAGGCAAGGTCCCATGCTTCCAGTGACCCATTTCCTTCCACTCAGCCCTGCCTTCTGAGGATTCCACCACCTCCCAAGAGTGCCACAGGCTGGTGACCAAGCCTTCGACACTGGACCTTTGGGAGACATTCAAGCAGATGGGAGCCAAGGCTAGCCTGTTTAAGGGATCCTAGCAGCAAGAACTTTGCATAATCTCTTTAAGATGGAACAGAACCTTTCTTGATCTACCTAGTGTGGGGTTCCCCACCTATGTTGAGTGGAAAGTTGACAGACCATAGGAGTTTTATAGTGTGGCATGGGAAAAACAGCAA